AGCGCGTACATCATGTCCGCGAAGGATGTTCATGATCAGGAAGAAGACTGCGATCACCAGGCGTGAAGCCCTGGATCACCGGGAAGTCGCGGTTGATCACGGCGTTCAGCACCGCCGATCCCATGCCCGGGCACCGCGAAGATGTATTCGATCGTGACCTGGACGCCGATCATGTAACCGAACTGCACCGCGGCCATGGTGACGAAGGGGATCATCGCGTTCTTGAGTGCATGGACGATCACGATGTTGGCCGGCAGCAGCCCCTTGGCCCGCGCGGTGCGCATATAGTCCTGCGACAGCACGTCGATCATGCTGGAGCGCAGCAGGCGGGTCAGCATCGCCGTCTGTAGCGAGCCCAGCGCGACGGCGGGAATGATGAAGGGGCTGTAGTGTTTCCAGAACCCACCGGCCTCGGCTTCCGAGGAGCCGATGCCGGTGATCGGCAGCCAGTCGAGCTGGATCGAGAAAACGTAGATCAGGATCAGCGCCAGGCCGAAGTTCGGCACGGCAAAACCCAATACTGTGTAGCCGGTACAGAGATAATCGATCCAGCTGTTGCGTCTCAGCGCCGCGATCACGCCGAGCGGGATCGACACCAGGAGCGCGAACAGCATGCCCGCGCTGGCGAGTTGCAGGCTGATCGGCAGGCGCTCGGCGATCAGAGTCGTCACCCGGTCGTTGAGCCGCATCGAGCGGCCAAGGTCGCCGGTCATCACCTTGGCGATCCACAGCCCGTATTGCTCGGGCAGGGAACGGTCGAGGTTGAACTCCTGGCGCATCGCCGTCGCCGCTTCGGGCGAGGTCTGCATGCCGAGCATGATCGTCACCGGATCGCCCGGTGTCGCGCGCGTGATGGCGAAGGTCATCAGCGACACGACGAGGAGAACCAGCGGCACCTGGATGAGGCGTCGTCCGAGGTAGGACCACATCGCCCGATCTATCCTTCAGCGCGAGCGAGGCCGCTCATGACCACGATACGGTGTCGAGTTTCTCGGTGTACTCCTGCGGCGCAGGCTCGAAGCCCTGGAGCTTGCTGTTGTAGATCTGGATGTTGTTCGTGTTGCAGTGATAGATGATCGGGCATTCCTCGAGCGTCGTGTCGACGATCTTGTGGTACATGGCCTCACGCTTGGCCGGCATCGAGCTCGCTGCGTGCGCC